TTAGGGGGTCCTCTAACGAATCCAAGCATTTAGAACCGTTTTTGACCCTTCTAAGACACTTTTTAAATTGAAAAAATAAACATCGTTAAGTGAAGCAGGGGACCTAAAATCGCATTCGTTATGCGAAGCATGGTCCCAAACTTCGCTAAGCGAAAATCGCCCATAGGAAACATCGTTATACGGTGCATATTATTTTCTAAAAAAACACATCGTTATGCGAATTCATCGCTAAACGAGGCACTCGTTAAGCGAGGCACCACTGTATTTCCAGGGTGTGTTTACCAGAACCGTAAACTGTAATGAGTACACAGATTTGCAGAATGACAATGGGATTAAGGTATTTTCCTGAACTTTATTTATATCATTTTTACTGTAAAAAGTGCATGTTATCTCAGCTTGGATAACTTGAATTAATTGAATTAGTTTATAAAATATGTAAATATACAGCCTCATGCTACAAAACGAAGTTCTATTTCATGCTGAATAACCCTTGAACTATAATGTATTGTAAACAGAAAACTATCTTTAGATAGATTTTTCCTCCAAAATCATTTTATTAAAATAAATCTGATTTAAATAAAAGAAATTTTTGATTATTATTTTTTAATCATCGGTTTTAATCCATCTCCATCTGCTAAAATATATTTGGAGGCTTAACACTCTCTCATACCCCACTTGAACAGAATTTTTTCTTCTCAATATATAAGATATCATAAGGTGATTTGCTCTTTTTGCAGCAACTGACTAGGCACTGGCTACCCCCCGGGAGCTTCATCCAATACCACCTGAGCCAAACTTCAACTTTTTACTCAGATTTGGCAGATTAAATACCAGACATTAGTTGTCCAAGTCCTGAAGTTGTGAAGCTGGCTGTTTAGTATGGGTTGCATTACTATGTCTTTAAGGACCACAAAGAACATGCTTTCTCTCAGGGAGGTATTTCTTACTTCCAAGGCCCAAATTTTCAAACCTGCCATGGATACTACTTAACACAATGGGCCAATATCCAATCCCAAAATCTTGAAATATTAGACAGAGAAATATTAGTAAAGTCTCCAGCTAATAACTTTATCAGAACTTTAGCTTTCTGCAGATTTAAATGATGGAGACACAGTTTTGAGGCTATACTAAGATAAATTGGAAGGCTAAGAGGCCACTATCCGCCACTGACTAGATAGTAGATTCTCCAGTATTCAACTGTTGTCAATATTCTCTATTTTCACACTGCAAATATCCATGGTAACTATACAAAACACATGCACACAGATTATATTCCATTCATCTGTTTAGGGATATGAAAGGCAGGATGTCTCTGTGTGCATGATAGGCAACTGTATCTTTTGACTGTACCTGCATCTGCTCCTAGAGCCTATCTGTACACCATTGTCATCCCAGACCAAATGCATCATCAGATGAGGCTGGGAAGGAGCAATGTGACAATAAAATTGTTTCAATATTTCTTAAATCATTTTATTATATCCTGGGTTGAGAAAGAAAGAAGGTAAGCCCCATCTGAAGGCTGGATCTAAGGTGGACTAAGAGTGCCAATCTTGTCTATTCCTTCCCCCTTGTAGAACAAGCAGCCCTACAAGATTTATAGTCTACTTTCTATTACAGAATCCCCATCTTCAGATAAACCCTTGTTTTAGTCAGAGAAGACAAGAGTCAGTGTGGCAAGTGGATTATGTTCATATAGAGTAATTTCTTGGAACCATGCCATACAGGGCATATTTCCAAACAAGTACATATTGGTTGGAATCCTGTTTGTGTAGATGCTATTGTAAATGTGCTGGGCATCCTGTCCAGGCAATGAGAACTGTGCAATTTAATTGAATGATCAATCACAGTTCCAGTTTCAACCAACTGCACAATGCACTTGCAGAAATGCTTTGTGAATGGCACTTCCGTTTTGGTGCAATTAACCAGCCACTGAATCTAGTCATTTCATAAACAAAAACAATCTCACTATGTTTTATTGCTTCAGTCAGTACTTCTGATAGTTATCTATACTGTTAAGAAAGAAAACACAGTCAAATTATCTAGATCATCATCACGTACTGGGAATGTACAAATTAAGGACTGAATAGGGAATATAAATGAAACGCATTAACTAGCTGATATATCTTATTTTCCACAAATAATTTTACAATGACCTTCTGTAAACTTACCTATGACCAGAACTTATCATATACACACAAAATCGTGCGTAGTTTCCACATAATGGCAGTTTTCATAAAATTCAAATTTGCAAAACAGAACCATGTAGCCTCATACATAAAACAAATTCTTAAACTGTATGATTACAAACGTGTTTGAAAACATGTAGAACTCTTGGACACCTACATCATCCATTCAATATAGTTTCCATAGTATACATTCTGTGTGATAATCTATTCCACATCTATAAAATTTTTCATCGCTTTCTTCATATACTGCCTTCTGCAAAGGCCACAAAGCAATTAAAAACCTTGTCTGACTCTAGATTAGAAATTGGCACTGATCATCATAATGTAATGACAGTGTATTTACTGACACATAATTTGAGTCCTCAGCATGCTAAGAATATGGGACCTTGCTATGTCACTGGTTTCTATAAATTTTATTATGATGCTTTATAAAGTTTTGTCCATGACAATCTTATCTTTCATTCTGGAAAGCTTAGTGGTTTAGTTATCAGGCTGCAGAGACTGAGATTTCTCCACTGTGGCTCCCCAACAGGGACTGTTCTTGATGATTCTCAGGGTCCCTTCCAGCTCTGCAGTTCTAAGATGATGATTATAAACTACTTCCCTTCAGTTTCTCGGTCCTTATACTCCATGCATTCACTTGTAATAATGGTGCCCCATTTACAACACTTCTGGAAGTATCAACTTCTGGAAGACTTTAGCTAAGCTGCCCAACATATAGTATAAATCATCCTGCCACAGAAGATTCAGTAGTACAGTGGTGCCTCACACAATGATGTTAATTGGTTCCAAAAAAATCAACGTTGTGTGAAATATCGTTCTGTGAAACACCATTTCACATAGGAATGCATTGAAAACCGGTTAATCCGTTCCAATTGGAACGGATTGCCATCGTTCAGTGAAAATCCCCATAGGAAACATCGTTGAGTGAAACAATGTTTCCTATATTGGAATGTATTGAAGCCGACTCAATACATTTCAATGCCTTTGCGAAGTCCTTTTTCGCTCCTGTAAAAGTGTCTTACAATGTTTGGACGCTGTTTTAAATGATTGCAATGGTTAGTCCACCTCCTGAAACCTATGCAAACTGATTTTGGTGTTGTTCTGACACTTCGTTAATTTATGATGATTTTTTGTTTTTTCCATTGGAAACCATTAGACAGACCATCCAATGGTTTCCAATGGAGAAAATTCAAAAAATCATCATAAATTAACGAAGTGTCAGAACAACACCAAAATCAGTTTGCATAGGTTTCAGGAGGTGGACTAACCATTGCAATCATTTTAAACAGCTTCCAAACATTGTAAGACACTTTTACAGGAGCGAAAAGGGAGATCGGGAAGAACTTTAAAAGGCAAACGGAGATCAAAGAGCCCTTTCCCGATCTCCCTTTACGCTCCTGTAAAAGTGTCTTACAATGTTTGGACGCTGTTTTAAATGATTGCAATCAGGAGCGAAAAGGGAGATCGTTGTGTGAAAACCCCCCATAGGAAACATCGCTGTGTGAGGCAGCAAATTTAACAGAAAAAGGCATCGTTGTGTGAATTCATCGTTGTGTGAGGCACTCGTTGTGCGAGGCACCACTGTAATTTCTTACCTCCCCAGCCCCTATTCCAAGTCTCCCAAAAGCTTTTACATGGCAAAAAGGAGCCCTAGGGAGCCTTGGAACCTGAAATGAAGGGAAAAGAAGTTTACAATTAATTTAAATTAATTATTTCTGGTGTCTGATCTGCTTTACACAACTACAGTCGTGCCCCGCTGGACGATCCCACTCTACGATGAATCCGCTTTATGTTGACGTTTTTGCAATTGCTTTTGCGATTGCAAAACGATGTTTTAAATGGTTTTTTTTCACTGTGCGATGATCGGTTCCCTACTTCGGGAACCGATTTCAAAATGGCCCCCCGCTGTTTTCTAGGATGGATTCCTCGCTTTACAGGTACCAAAAATGGCCGCCATATGGAGGATCTTCGCTGGACGAGCAGGTATTCAACCCATTGGAACGTACTGAACGGTTTTCAATGCGTTTCAATGGGGTTTTTAATTTTGTTTGACAATGTTTTCTCTCTACAGCGATTTCACTGGAATGAATTAACGTTGTCAAGCGAAGTACCACTGTACATTCAACATATGGCTGGACAGCTCAGTGAGTTATTTATCTGGCTGCAGAGCCAGAGGTTGGGAATTCAATTGCCCACCGTGCATTCCAGAACAGCAAGCCGGTGTGGCTTTCGGCAAATTGCACAGTCCCAGGATGCCCAAGAAAAATGGAATACTAAACCAGCTCCAAATACCTTGTCTAGAAAATGCTGAAAAGTGATGCTGTAAGTCAGAATTGACTTGACAGTACACCATTATTATTATTATTATTATTATTATTATTATTATTATTATTATTATTATTATTATTATTATTATTATTATTAACTGGATTAACAGGATCTTGTCCATTATTTCATAGCTTTAAACTATTAAATAAGTAATTTTATTTAATTTAACAACAAGTACAGATCTTTCAGAATGTAATTAGAAATTCAGTTATTAGTATGACAACACATATTATGCAGGATGAAAACCACATAGCACATTCTATATGGTCTCATGCTCAGAAATGCAGGAAAGTACGTGAAAAAATATGGCATAGGTTTATTACGGATTTTGCAAATTGAGAACACAGTTTGGACTAAAACCAACACTGGATATGAATACAGTAAGCAATGCTTTGGTTTTTTGTGATAGTACTTACAACATTTTATAGCTTAGTCTGGCAAGCTTCAGCCTCTAGAAAAAAAGCAAAGGCCAAAGCAAATAGAAGCCACAATGCAGCATATAACCCATCATTGTGATTTCTATCTGAGCCCACCATCCTCACTTAGAATCTAGTATCCTAACACTGCACTTTCTAGCTATGTTGTGTCCTGTTATATTTAATTAAAAGGCTCAAAAGAAGGTCCTCCAGGCATAAACAAGTTAACCTACACAACATCCAAGAACAAAGAAAAAATCCCAGACTTACCTGCAACATACCAACTATTTCTACTTTATTAAAAAAGATGAATGAATGAAGAGTTGACAACATGTTTTCCTCAAATACCGAAGGAGTAGGTAGAACCATATCTTGAATATACTGTACTCTGTATGTCTGATGTATCTTCTGTTTCAATTCTGGATCAGATATTGGAATAACTTCTTTAAATTTTGCAGTGTTTGTCAGAAATTCCCTGTGTTTCCGTGACTGTGATAAAGAGGGGTCATATTCTAGGCATCCAATTACATCCATTATACATTCTTCAGAAAACATGACTTCAAAAAGTGCAGTTCTATTCAAAAGGAAGATTCCCTTAATAATTTCGTACAAATGGTGCAGTCCCTCAATATTCTCCAAGTCCTCACACACGTGAAAAATTTCTAAGAGCTTTTTAATATAGCCCTCATTTTCCAGTGCTAAAGCAAGTTTCTCACGTCGCAATGGGGAAGGCAGTGAAGATGCCACAAGTTCTGCAATTTCTTCTAATCGACTTAATTCACAAGATGGCAATTCTAAACCTGGGGATGACATATCATCAAAGCGTTCCTCTTCAGATTCATCCACCAGATCCTGAGTGATGTCCACCGAAGGATCTTTCCCTTGAACCTATTAAAGTGAGAGAAAACTAGAAGGTACATTTTTAGCTTTAATTGTTCAATGCCTACTACTATACAGACCACTGAACTAGGAAATAATAATTTAAAAAGTATTCCTCTGCCCCAACAATATGCCACACTTACAGAGTGCAGTTATAGTCTGTAGCCAAGAACCTCAATGTAAGGCCACACACTGTGAAGTACATTAAGTACGTCAATGCAAGAAGCACCAGAGTTCACCTTGAAATTAAAAATGCAATCAAGTATTTGGTGAACACAGTAGCAATATAAATTAACTATCTGGTGAAGCCATTGGTAATACAATATCAACACTGCTTATGAAAAAAAAGTGTATGCTGAATGTTTGCTCTATTTCAACCATTAATGACCAAAATATTCTGAGTGTATGCTGTCTCTAGAAATTGTTGATATCTTAATTCTATTTACCATTTAACTACTAATGTTTATATTTCCATTTGAATATACAGTGGTGCCTCACATAGCGAGGTTAATCCGTTCCGGATTAACCCTCGCTATGTGAAAACATCGCTAAAGGGAACGTAAAAACCCACTGGAACGCATTAAACATTGTTTAATGCGTTCCAATGGGCCCTAAACTTACCGTTCAGCGAAGTTTCCTCCATAGCGGCAGCCATTTTCGCGCCCTCAGTAAGCGAGGGGAGGGCGCGAAAACGCTGCGCGCGGCCATTTCAGGGCTTCCGGCAGCCATTTTGGAACCGCCTAACAGCTGATCCGCGGGCATCGCAAAGCGAAAATCAGTAAGCGAAAAGCTTACCGATCGTCGCTATGCAAGTTTCACCCATTGCGACCGTCGGTATGCCTCCGGATTCGTCGTTATATGGTGCACTCATTAAGCGAGGCACCACTGTACTGATTTTCACTTCTGTAAACTACCCCACAATCTACTCTAAGCAAGGCTAGAACAAAAATATTTTTAAAACGGAATAATCATCCTAGGTACTCTGATCAGGCCTTCCATTAAAAAACAAACTGAGTTAGTTGCTAAACCCAAGGCACCCATCCCTATGTGCATATAAATAAATGTTATTCAAAACTGCAGTGCGTATTTGTGCTACTACATTACCAGTCCCTTTTCCTGAGAATCAGACAACACTATTATGTAGTGAGATATAATAGTGGACTATTTTCTTTTAGTAGTCGAACAACTAGACGGGTGGGATATAAGTATAATAAATAAATAAACAAACAAATTTCTATAATCAAGAATTTTTCTGTTTCACTTTCTCAAATTCTGAAGATTCTGAAATGTACCAATATACTAACACTTAATTTTTAAATGAGTTTGAAACTTCTGAGGGAAATGAAGATACCCACTATTACAATTAGCAAAAAGTAGTTAAGAGAGACAATTTACCTGACATATTTTTTCCCATATTTCATCGCATCCAGCCTTTTCTTGAAAGCTAAGCGCCAGATCATAGTTCTCTGCTTCAGACCACACGATCAGTGTGTCCTTGAAAATTAAACATTATATTTACAATTGTATTTAAGACTTTCGAATATATAAAATTAAAATGTTTCACTTGCACTTTAAATTATATGAGATATCAAGAAAAAACATAACCTAAGAAATCATATACTGGGCTGGCATTCACACACACAAACAGTAAAGTGTACTAAAGCCAGCCTTTAATATTTGAAATTCAGTTACCATTGATCAGAATCTCTCTTTCACACACACAAACACACATACTCTAAGTGTATTCTAATATTCTACGGCATATTTATAGATTTTACAGAATAACTGTTGTGAGTGCTTTATATGAAATTGTACCACATTAAAACTGTCAACACAGCAGCATCTCATTTGCATATGCCTTTTGAGAAAAGTTCATAAATATCCAATCTTCTCCATTTTTTCTTTCCATTAATGAGCACCTATTTGTTGTCATTATATTCTAGCCCTTCTTCAAAAGCTACCTACCCTTATAATTACATGCTTTTGAACTCCTTTCTGCTCTCTATTTGTTGCATACAATGGCCAGATTCCTACTGCCACAATATACTTTCACAAGGGAAATTGTATAGGCCTTGGAAGTAAATTGCAGCTGATTAACAAGATCCTGGTTGTGTATCTTGGCACAAACACCTCATTGCATGCATACATGGGAATGCAACCAGCATCTTCTTAATGAGCAATGATTTACACGAATTACATGACTCACATGATTTTCCTTATGCACAGAAAATCTACAATAGGATTCTAATAGTATATAAGTACATCACATACTTGGGTAATCTCATTACAGTATTTTCTCTAAAACAAGGGGCAGGAGCTACTTCAGAACTTCCATTGACTAGAAACCAGTAGAGGCAGGAGATGTAATTTTTCCATTCTACTGCTTCCTCCAATGCACCCCAAAAACCTGTTCCACAGAGCTGGGAAACCTTCTAGAGCTGGTCCTGAAATGGCTCAAAAGGATGGAGGAGGGGGCCAGCCCCATATAAGATTTAGGGTAATATAGTTCATTTTCAAGTGTTCCTATTATTTTCCTTTGTTGTTTCTCCTCTACAGCTATCATACTAAAACACTCCAGATCTGTCTGGATCTTATAAGTCACAATTAATGTATCTGTCTACACACGTTCTTTCATGTCTTAACTAGCTGTCAACCCATAAGGTGGGAGAAGACTTATGATTACTATGTTTTCTGATTCAGGAAGAGGTAGTGGGTTCTACCACAAAAAGCCATGTAGTACCTCAATGACCGAAACATTTTATGGGGCATAAACTTTAATGCACCATAGTCCATTTCATAAGATGCATGATGATTAAAGTTATAAAGTAGTGTACAGTCTATGGAAGATTATGCTGAATAAAGCTTGTTTGTCTTCAAAGTAGACCATGCTCTGTGTAAACTTTAGCAAGAAACATACATTTTTTTCCCCAGTCAAGGCACACATACCTAATTCTTTAAGTCCGGTGAAGTATGTGATATAAAATGCGGTGACTGCTTTTTAACACAGCATAATCACATATGAGGTAGCTGTCTATTTTAAGTTATGTATATCCTAGATCAGGAGTCTCCAAACTTTTCAGTATGAGGGCCACATCATATCTTTCACACATTCTTGAGGGCCGAAGGAAGGAAGGGAGACCCAAGCAATCCCCCACCCCTGCTGTCTTTGCAAAGACAGCAGGGGTGGGGGATCGCTTAGATCAGTGGTTCTCAACCTTGGGTCTCCAGATGTTCTTGGACTACAACTCCCAGAAATCGTGACCAGCACAGCTTAGGGTGAAGACTTCTGAGAGCTGCAGTCGAAGAACATCTGGGGACCCAAGGTTGAGAACCACTGGCTTAGATGAGGCATCACTCCTCTTCTTATCACCGCTCAGGTGCAGGAAGAGGAGGGAATTGCTTGGGTACCCTTTCTCTCCTCTTCCTATGCCTGGGCTGGATAAAAAGGAAAGGTGGGCCGAATGTGGCCCACGGGACATAGTTTGGAGACTCCTATTCTAGATTATTAAAAATCTATCTATTAATTTCCAGGGTGGATTTGATTTAAATCATTATTTAAATCTAAAAATTGGATTCTTAAAATAATTTAAATTTTTTAAAACTATTATCATTGATTTTTATCCACCCTGTTAATCTGAATACAAAGCTGACAAATCATAAGAAATGTTTTAAATTTAAGGTACTCAGAGATTCTGGTTTTACTGAAATCATAAAACTGTGCCACTTTCAAGAATTTGTATGTTCAGTACAGTGTGCCAAGTGGCTAACAGAAAGCTAGCTATTACTACACTACAGAAATATACATATAATTATCAGTATAAGTGGTGGGAAGTAAGCAGGACAAGAAAATAATACAAACCTCAAATCTTTGCACTACTTTTATCAGATAGTAGCTGTTTCAACTTCCCAAGACAAGCTAAAAAGATACTTACACTAGGTAAACTATGTATGTAATGCCACATTAATTCCCTACCAACTATTTAGGAAGACACTTCCTGATCTCAAGGTTTTCATGGCTTGAATTAACACTAATGCCTGACTCCAACTATGGTTTGTTGTATTGTGGATGAAATGTGGATGAACAGGTGCAATCTTGAGTTTGTATGCTCCCCACTAACCCCACTCCTTTCACCTGTGAGAGGATGCTCAAACCTTTTGATCAGTTTAAACAAACTGTAGTTTCCCATTAGTTCTGAATGTAGAAACTGTGCTTTAACTACATGTAATTTTAAAAAGAGGATCAAACTGTAATAGAGTTTGTATGAACTTTGTTTAGAATTGCCTCTGTCTTTTATATTTTGATTCAACAGGAAATTGCAGTTTGCATGGAATTGCAATCAAAAGCTTTACATTTTATCTCCCTAAACACAAGACCACAAACCATTCCCTCTTGACCCTTTGGAACTGATAAGAGTAGCAATGTATACTATAGGCAGGACAGGGAATTGCTGAAAATTATACTCCCCATTTCATTGGCACCATTGCATCAGCAGAGCAAAAGTGACTGAATAGGATGCGTGCTTTTTGGGTTTGCTGGACTCCAACTCCCAGAACAATCCAATAATTTTTCAGGTAGAAATTCCAATCCACACCTTTCACTTAAGGCCTAGCTTGGAGGTTCCATGGCTGTCTCAGGCCTATTCCCAAAGAACTCCAATGTCAAGAAAGCACTATTACAGTTTCCTTTTGTGTACATTAACTACAGGAACTAGGCCCAAGGGAGCCATGGAACATTTGCTCCAGGTCAGTGAAATGTAGGTGTAATCAGGTATGGACCTGTGGGCTGGAACTCCCAAAGTTCTACCTGGGGAATTTCTGGGACTTAAGAGTCCAAAAAATTCAAATAGTACATCCCTAAGTCTGAAATAAAAGACTTGAAAATCTTCAGACCACAAAAATTCTGTTATAACAGTACCAATACAATAGGCTGGCCATGTAAACAACTGTACCACTCTCTCTGTATTACCAGTGAAATATAAAAAAGAAACACACTCTGAATCACAGAAGCTGTTCACAACCCAGGATGCAACTCTTAATACATGATCAGCCCAAAAGCAGTATCTTCAAATTAAGAAGGAAAGCTAGAAGTCTTCCTTGAGAAGAAAGACGAGAAACCATTAAAAATCTAGCTATAGAGAGAAATATTATTGCCTTCATTATTACCTGTTGCTTCTGGTATGCAGTATTTGGATTGATTTTTGATTCCAGAAGAAGTGAACCTGAAGAAAAGGACAAGAGGTTTGTATTTGTATTTAGTTTGTATTTTCCTACCACCAATACAAATAAAGTTGTCTTTTATGTACTTGAAGTTAAATTAACTGTAATGGATTTGAAAAACAATCAGAACGACTATTTTTCAAGCAGCCTGGAAGTAGCTATCTTATATATTGTAAAGAACAGAAATGCAATTTTAAAGTCCATTAAAACAGAGGTCCCCAACCGCTGGTCCGCGACCCGGCAGTGGCCTATCCAGGATAGGGCCACGGATACAGATCTCCTAACCCCCCACGAGCACGTTCCTCCCCTACAAGCATGCCATGCATATGCACAAGCGGGCCCCCCGCAAGCATGATGTGCACATGTGCGAGAGAGACTCCACCCCCCTGCAGGCGCAGCACTCCCTCCAAGTAGTCCGTGGTGGTTGGGAAAAAGTTGGGGACCACTGCATTAAAACTACCATGAATTGGCTATTGCAAAGCAAACTTTCTTAGGCCAAGATTTTCAATACTCTTATTCTCCCCCATCTGTCAAAGAATGCTTCAAGGTATTAATTATTGTGGGAACGCATCCCACACAGAAAATGCACATAAACCATACAAATCATCTCTCCTCTAAATCCTTCAGGAAGCATAAGAAAAAAGCTTTCAATATTTTTGTACAGCAAGATAACCATCCAGTCATGGTTAGAAATAAGGCAGAGCTAGTACTCTCACTGACAGACCACTATGTGGCATGACACTGTGCCATTATACAGCATATTGGAGCAGAAAACTATTTCAAATCCTTAGCCAGATTTTACAAACAGATAATTCTACAAAATATAAATCTTTTTATACTTCCAGTGTCACCAAAAAGCCTCTACAATTTTATCTGCTAAGCCACTGTGGACTTTTGCAGAGCACCTGAAGGCAGTAACATTACAGAGAAATAGAATTCAATTTTAAGTCACTATTTGAATGAATCACTTAAATTCATTTCTCATCTTTAGCTAACAAGTGTTTTTCCAATGTTAAATAATAAGTCAATATCAAAACAATCAACACCTTCACCACAGTGTACTTAGTTGTGTCTACCTTATTATACAAAGATAAAGGATGCTTGACTGAGACTGATTTAGGAACATAGAAAGATTTTTACAAGAGATTTAAAAATGGGCCTAATTTAAAAGATTGGTTGTTATGTTCATTTAATAAAAAGTCATGAAATAATCAGTTCCTAAACTTTCTAGAACATATTTTCTTTCCTCTAACCAGCAATGTTATCCTGAAAGCAGTTCGAGAAACTTAACTGACATTAAATTTGGTCCCATTTCAACATTTGGTTCCATTCTTACACCATGTTGTGCTTATGTGCTGTCAAATAAACTCAGACATACGGCTTAGACAAATAAACTTAGACATACATAAATTAATGATTTCCAAAATGTTCTGTCCTCAACACCCCTGTTCAGCTCTTGTAAACTTAAGGCTGTAGCCTGTCACTGTTCAAGACATGGTTGTGGGACTGTATTCAACTTGCTCTTATGTAAAAATCAATAAAACTAGTAAAATGTCAGATGCTTCAGACAAAAATGTTCATGTTATTGATATGACTATACTAAATGGACTAAAAATATTGTGGCACAGTGGTTAAACTGCAGGACTGCAGTCAAGGCTCTGGCTCACAATCTGAGTTCAATTCTGATGGGCTCAAGTAGACATCTTAAGGTTGACTCAGCCTTGCATCTTCTGAGGTCGGTAAACTGGCTGGGGGCAACACATGTACAGCTTGCATAATTAAACTGTAAACTACCCAGAGTGTGTCTTAAGCACCACAGGACAGTATATAATTATTTTAAAGTATATTTTAAAATGTTTTGTACACAAACATAGAAAGTCAGATAACGGGAAGAGTATTTCCAGTTATTATTAAACAGTATTTTTCTATTTTCCTATTAAAAATTCTAAATACCACTCAGATTTTATCTAAACATCTCAGTTAATATTAATGGCCGGCCACAGAGACTGGCGAAACGTTAGGAAGAACCTTTAGAACACGGCCAAAGAGCCCGAAAAACACACAACAACCATTAGATCCCAGCCGTGAAAGTCTTCATGAATACATCTTAGAAGAAAGTTTCATTGAACCCAATGACACTTAACTTTTAAGTTAGGAGACATAAGCTCAGTTCACTGCTTTGTTTTTTAGTCTTTTGTCACCTAGCACAATAATTTCATACCCAGTGTAATGTAGTGGATAGAGTGCTGGATTCCAGAGACCCAGGTTTGAATCTCCATTTGGCCACAGAAACTCACTGGGAGAGTGGAATTGGTAAAAAACACTCCTTACATATCTCAATTACCTTGAAAGCCCTGTTAGGACCATAACAATTTGGTTTTGACTTGAGGGCACACACCTAACTAATAATTTCTCTTATTCTCATTCTTAGAAAAAGAGAAATAACAAAAAAGAAAAAAAAAGAAATATACTACAGGCAGCTGTTCGCTTAAACATTTAAGAATGACCTTGATAAATAATAACACTATCAACATAACAAAGAATTTTAAGTGCAATTTGCAATAGCTCAATCAACTTACTGATTCATGTTGTACCTTCACAAAGTATCTAACACAAAAGATTTTGGTGCCAACAGAGATTTCTATATAAACTTATATTTGACAATGGCAATTTATTTCCTTGACCACAAGCTATTAATAAGGAAGGACTACTTAAAAGAAGTAAGATGATTGTCACAATATGAGGATCATGGAGAAGCCACAAAGATTAATTGTAAATTGAGTTGATATCCATTAAAATTAACCTATGTACCCTATGTTTTGCAAATATTTTCCCATGAAATAAAACAGAAGTTATTTAAAATAGTTTGTAAGAAGTTGATCAGTTGAGAAACAAAAGACACAAAGAAGACTTGAAATATTGATAATGTACAAAGTTTCATTTTCATATTCAGTACTAACATCTGACGATTACAATACTGTACAAAAAATCCTTGGTCAATGAAGCTGCATAATCAAATTTTGTAGGATAAACCTTAAAGTAATTTTGGGCATATCATGAGAAGGCAAGATTTGTTGGAAAAGACAATAATGCTGGGAAAGGCTGAAAGTAGCAGGAAGACAGGTAAAGGTAAGTTCCCCTTGACAAACGTCCAGTAATGTCCGACTCTAGGGGGCGGTGCTCATCCCAGTTTCCAAGCCATAGAGCAAGCATTTGTCCGTAGAGTTTCCGTGGTCACATGGCCAGCGCGACTAGACACAGAACGCTATTACCTTCCCACTGTGGTGGTGCCTATTTATCTACTTGCATTTGCAAGCTTTCAAACTGCTAGGTTGACAGGAGCTGGGACAAGTGATGGGAGCTCACTCCATCACGTGGATTCGATCTTACAACTGCGGGTCTTCTGACCTTGCAGCACGGAGGCTTCTGCGGTTCAACCTGCAGTGCCACTACGTCCAAATATGAGATGGAATGACAAGGAACCACAACCTCGAGTTTACAAAAGCAGAGCAGGAATGTTGAGGACACATCATTTTGGAGATCACACATTCAGCGGGTCACCAAGTTGGAGGCAACTTGATGACACATAATTTAAATTTGTTTTACGTGCAAAAATAATTCTGGATATTTATTTGAATCCTGCGTATTTATTTAACTCATTTATTTAAAATAGCTTTACCCTGCCTTTCTTGTTAGAGAAGGGACTGTAATCCAAACATCAACCATCTATGGACAATGTTACTCGGACAGTACAAACAACAACATCCCAGCCAATAGCAATGTATGGAGAATAATCCTTACCTTATTCCAGATTTTTAGATCAATTATGTAACATTTATATTTAAGATCTACATGTAGCTACCATACACCCATGATATAAACACCTCTGATACATACGTGTTCAGGCATACTTACCATCACTCTCTGCCCTGACAAGCAGGGACATGCCCTTCAGCTTTTCCACATAGCCAGAGGACACATGTCCAGTGCCTCGATCATCCCACTGTCTATCTTCATTCAGAGTGTAAACCTTCACCCTCCTCCGGGTATCAGTCATCCTGTCTCTTGGCACACCACAAAGGCCTAGAAAGTCAAGGAAGCCGAAATGCGATGGGGGGCTTTGCCCCCCTCAATAAAGGGGAGCAGGAAAGGGAGTAAAAGTCCCACACGATACCACAAACAGTTGTCTTTACTGCCACTGCTAAATTAGCTGCCTCATCATCCCCAAAAGGGGGGATTTGCCAATGCAAAATGAGAGGCCAGAAGTTTTGCAGTGAAGCAGCAAGATAGTAGAATGGGAGAGAAGAGGAAGTAGCAAAAATACCGTTGAAAAGAAACAGAACAAAAAGAGACATAAAGGGAAAGATATAAGAATAGGAAGGAGTATCAGGTAGCAAACCAATGGGAATGCCAAAATTCGCCAACAAGGCTGGCACTAATAAGAGAGAAAATCTGAGGTAACTGACAAGTAGCAGGGGAAAAGGAACGAAGGGAGGAAGCAGATCGATGACACGAAAGGAGAGCGGGAAAGATTAGCTAGTTACACAAATAACCCACAGAATGGTAGGTAGAAATACCAAATTAACGAGGAGGAAAAGCCGGGGTACAACCGGGAGCTGTGACTGGGGGCAGGGGTGACAGAAGGAGATGGGGCAGGGAAGGGGAAAGAAGGAAGCACCCAAGAGGGGATCGGCTCGTCCTCTGACTGTCCTATTGTGCAAGGGAGGGCCAGGCCCGAAGCCCCCTCTTGTGCTCTCGGCTGGTCAAGACTAAAGGACCGAGGCGGGGGCGCCGCTTCTTCCCAGAGAAGGCCGCGGCCTAAGCTGAGGGCGGAGGACGCAGCAGCCTGCACGGATGGGGGCGGGGAGAGGAAGCAGGCCGAATGGGCTGGGCGCGCAGGCGGTCTCAGCGCCCCGGCAGCCCCATCAGTGCCCCTCAAGAGCAGCGGCGAGTGTACTTCCAGCCAGACGCCGCCGCCGCTGCTGCTGCCGCCATGTTCTTCTTGCTCCCGTGACTCTCACTGCTACTTTGCTCAGACGGAGCTTCCTCTCTCTTTCCGCGTCGTCAGCTCCGTCCCGAGCACCCGGCGAGGGAGCGAAGCCCCTCCGCGAGCGGAGGAGGTGGTCGAGACACTGGCCGCTCACGTCCTCCTGTCTCAGCCTCAGTCACTGCACGGCCGCCATCTTGGTTTCACCTCTCACTGTAGGCGCGGGGTCTCCTCGCCAAGGGCGGCACGGGCCGGCCGCGAGCACTTAAAGGGCCAGCAGCCTTCACGGAGCGGGTTGTGGGACCGCTGCCTTGGAGACACAAAAAGGCGCGCTTTGCCCAGGACTGACTACTGAGATAACACGGCAGGGTTTCCTAGTAGAGAAACAGCCCGCAATCCACGTCAGAAAGGAGTCATGTCTGAAATTGTAAAGAACCTAATACAGTACTTAGCTCAGTTAAGAGAGACATACGATCTGTAGCTTGAGTCATAACAGAGCACTTCACTCAAAAATTTTTGGTATAGTGTGGGGGGAAAACTGAGTTATGTTTTTTCCCTTGTATCCCTCAAGCGTTTTATCTCACTGTTATAATTTTTAGAAGCGTATTTGTAGGAGGCCCTCTTCCTCAGGCTCTGACACCACGTGCGAGTTATTCAGTACATAGGAGGGTTTGGCACTCAAAAATATATCTGCCTCTCACACATGTTTAAAGAGACCTTTGAATCCACAGTGAAATGAAGCTGAAGTGTGTGTTTTCATAGGATTGCATGCATGTCCCCCTCTGCCTCAGTACTCGCATTTCAAAACAAGGGTAAAGAAGCCTCTGAAGCACCAAGAGTAGCCTGCAAAAAAATATCCATTATGCCTCAAAATTCATCATCTGTATTCATGTTTCCCTTTGTAGGTACTGAGTCACAGAGTTCCCATAAACTGGAAGCAATCTGATGGCACATAACAATAAATTCTTATGATTCTTGTGGGTTTTTCGGGCTCTTTGGCCGTGTTCTGAAGGTTGTTCTTCCTGACGTTTCGCCAGTCTCTGTGGCCGGCATCTTCAAAGGACTGGAGTCGGAACTCTGTCCATGCTCTGTATGGTTCCTACTCCAGTCCTCTGAAGATGCCGGCCACAGAGACTGGCGAAACGTCAGGAAGAACAACCTTCAGAACATGGCCAAAGAGCCGGAAAAACCAACAACAACAATCTGATCCCAGACATGAAAGACTTCGAGAATAAATTCTTAGTTGCAAAGTGCTTTAATCATTCCACTGCTCAGCTGATCCTGGACATAAGTGGATGTGGGCAAATTAAAATGATGTAATTTTAATTTATGACACAAGCATCTCTCTTCTTGGCTGATGAGTTGGAACAGCTTATGCCGGCATGATTAGAAAAAAGGAATCCCATCTAGCATCATCGTTTAGTCATTTAGTCGTGTCCGACTCTTCGTGACCCCATGGACCAGAGCACACCAGGCCCTCCTATCCTCCACTGACTCCCGCAGTTGTGTCAAATTCATCTTGGTTGCCTCGATGACACTGTCCAGCCATCTCATCCTCTGTCGTCCCCTTCTCCTCTTGCCCTCACACTTTCCTAACATCAAGGTCTTTTCCAAGGAGTCTTCTGATGAGATGGCCAAAGTACTGGAGGCTCAGCTTCAGGATCTGTCCTTCCAGTGAACACTCAGGGTTAATTTCCTTTAGAATTGATAGGTTTGTTCTCCTTGCAGTCCAGGGGACTCTCAAGAGCCTCCTCCAGCACCACAATTCAAAGGCATCAATTCTTTGGCGGTCTGCTTTGTTTATGGTCCAGCTCTCACTTCCATCCATCAAGACAGGAAAAACCACAGCTTTGACTATTCGGACTTTTGTTGGCAAGGTGATGTCTCTGCTTTTTAAGATGCTGTCGCGGTTTGTCATCGCTTTCCTCCCAAGAAGCAGGCATCTTTTAATTTCATGGCTGCTGTCTCCATCTGCAGTGATCATGGAGCCCAAGAAAGTAAAATCTGTCACTGCCTCCATATCTTCCCCTTCAATTTCCCAGGAGGGGATGGGACCAGTGGCCATGATCTTAGTTTTTTTGATGTTGAGTTTCAGACCGTTTTTTGCACTCTCCTCTTTCACCCTCATTACAAGGTTCTTTAATTCCTCCTCTCTTTCTGCCATCAGAGTAGTATCATCTGCATATCGGAGGTTGTTGATATTTCTTCCGGCAATCTTAATTCCGGCTTGGGATTCCTCCAGTCCAGCCTTCCGCATGATGTATTCTGCATATAAATAAGCGAGGGGACAATATACAGCCTTGTCGTACTCCTTTCCCAATTTTGAACCAATCAGTTGTTCCATATCCAGTTTTGTTGCTTCCTGTCCCACATATAGGTTTCTCAGGAGATAGACAAGGTGGTCAGGCACTCCCATTTCTTTAAGAACTTGCCATAGTTTGCTGTGGTCCACACTGTCAAAAGCTTTTGCATAGTCAATGAAGCAGAAGTAGATGTTTTTCTGGAACTCTCTGGCTTTCTCTATAATCCAGCGCATGTTTGCAATTTGGTCTCGAGTTCCTCTGCCCCTTCGGAATCCAGCTTGTACTTCTGGGATACATCTAGCATACCTTCCCATTAAAAAAATTGTTACATAAAATTATATAAACATAAAAATATGTAATAACAGATAACAAAAAGTTATACAAAATGTGCTCGCTGCACAGAGGCCATTTGGAAGTTACAACCTTTTTTTCCCTTCAGCAAAACTCTGACCTCAGAAGCAGAAGTTCATACTCTGGCCATGCTGCACTGGCTGCCCATCCGTTTCTGCATTG